ACCGGCCTTGCTTAACCCTCACCCCATCCCCAACCGGCCCACTAGCTCCCCACCTCCCTTTGAAGGTAGGGATGTCACTTACTGAGCTCTTCGGGTCTTGGGAGAAGATAAAACTATTGACGTGAGCCACAGCTACAATGTAGAGGATGGGGCACCAGCGTGGGCGGAGCGCCCCGGTGACCAGGGCCCGGAAGTAGAGCTGAAGGAGAGCCAGGCTGTCCTCAGCAGGTTCTGTGTAGCGCTCCAGGGGCACGGGCAGCTGCGATGGAGGGAGAGGACATGCTGAGGGCCAGGGTGGAGATGTGCAGCTGAGCCTGAGCATCCAAGGATGCGTAAAGCCCTGGGTTTCATTCTCAGCGCACGTGGGTGTGCTGACACACGAAGTACTGATCTTTTTTACTTTTTCTTTTAAAGATTTATTATGTATGCAGTGTTCTGCCTGCACACCAGAAGAGGGCACCAGATCTCATTATAGATGGTTGTGGACCACCATGTGGGTGCTGGGAATTGAACTCAAGGACTTTTGGAAGAGTAGCCGGTGTGCTTCACCTCTGAGCCATTTCTCCAGCCCCTGTGCCGATTTCTTAAAGAGTATTTTTTCATACGTTATTTAACGTACATGCAAGTTTTGCCTTCATGTGCGTCTGCACCACAGGAGCTGGTGCTTGAGGAGGTGGCGAGCCTCTGCGTGGGTGCTGGGAATCAGCCCTGGCCCTTTCAACAACGAGCGTGCGTAATCACGGAGCCAACTCTCCAGTCACCTTCTTAAGAGTATGTAATGTCGGCAAATATGATGTAAGGTTAAATGAAACAATTCATTATGCAGTAATTCCAATTTTATAAAAATATACAAGCATACAAAAGAGACTGGAAAAAATAGAAGTTAAAACGATTGTGGCTGAGCTGGGAGTGGAAGCCCACCGTTTCTGAGCTCACACAGAAGGCTAAGGCAGGGGAACTGAAAGACTGAGTCAGCCTGGGTTACACAGGAAGACACTGTCTCAAAAACTTGAGACAGGTGAGACAGGGTC